GTAGTAGCAATCACAGTACCATCTGTTGCACTCTTAGAGTCATTGTGGGTTGAGTCAGAACAGAACAATAGCATAACCTCAAAGAAATCAAACTGTCTGTCCTTACCCCGCTCTTACCTATAGTGCCTGCACTGTAGGTAGAAACTCTATCACACTGTTATATAGCCTGATGTCTGGTGTCATGCCCCATTGCACCTGTTACAGTATGGGTGTCCAAACATTTGCCTGTTTTAATCTGTCATCTGCAAGTGATATTGCATGCCTTCTTCCATAGGTCACCTCAGCCTAGCAGCAACACTGAGCTGATATTAAAGCAGCGGTCAGAAGCCATGCATGTTGGGATATTGTACAATATTGTGTTACTTTTTGTTGATGAATAATACATAATACAGAGAGATAACCTAACTGTAGGCAGTAACTAGCACAGTCTCCTTTCTCTGCGACGGGAGGCTATGACTGATTGATGCCTGAGCATGTAGCAGTAGCGGCGAACTGTAAGTTCAATTTTGTTTACATGCATGGTGCGGGCTTTTACCTTTTGCTTGAACGGTTGGATCTTAAAGCAGGTGTTTCTAGGTTGTTGTAGAATTAGGGACACCGCAGTATTAGTTAAACACATTGTAGTTCTTTGCTAATAGAGAAAAAACATGACCTGTTTTTACAAAAGACAAACATTTGAGTTATCTGTGGAACTGGCTTTATTGCATTTGAGTTGTATTAGTTATGTTGAATGCATTCCTTTTTAATGTCTTCTATGAACTTAGTAAAGGCAGGGTTAGATAACCAAATGTGAGTGATTTGCTTATACCTTCAGGTGTGGGATTGGCTGTAATTTGGAGCTTTGAATGTGTGCTTGTACATGTGCCTTTGTATAATAAATGACTTTGCCACAATGAGACTTCATAGGGATGTGGTTTGATTTGCATCTAAAGTTTCAGGTAAACATGAGTTACATTTTTTGATTCAATGATGATGAGTGACCTTGGGAAGCAATTGGTAATTTTTGCAGTAGCATGGCGAATTAATATATTATTAATAATAATAATAATAATAATACTGTAGTACAACAGGTTAAATATAGCATACTTGGAGTAAAATGAAAAAGTTGCAAAAAGTTTTGTGTCAAGTGCTATTGTTGACTTCTTAATGTGCATATTTAAAAAAAAAACAATGCTTGGATTACCTATTTCCTACTTTGATAGTTTAAGGATCATTTGTTGTCGCTGTAATGCTGTCTTAAAATGAGTCTTTCATCTTCTTTTTCGTCTGCATGCTTTGCCCCGCAAAGGTTAAACTGAAACTTCAACCCACTCACAGCCTTGTAAATTAGCTCAGGTCTCCTTTCTTCCCCTGGCGGTCCTGGCTCCTGTTTCCTTACTCTCCTCAAGTTGCTTTGACTTTTGTTCTTTAAAAAGGTGAAATAAGGGGACTTACCATAGTGCAAAATGTATTATCTTGAAATGTTTCAGAGTGCTGCGCACTTTCATAAAGTTGCTCTCTGGATACAAAGCAGGCAGAGATGACATCTGGGCAAAACAGGTATGCAAATGTACAGTGAATTCACTATTGCATTACATTTATAATTGCGCCACTTTTGTACACAGTATTTCAGTGCAAGACCTTGCACCCTATAATACAGGTGCTAAGTGCACTGAAACAGTGCTGCACCATATTTAATAAATTAAAGAGGCAAACGCCTCCTTTATATGTAAATTAGCCTTCTTATTAGATTGTACCATTTTCACAAAAAGTATTGCTATTTGCCTTTTACCTTCCTTACAGAATTTTATTAATGAAATGTTTGTGCATATTCTGTTGTGATTATGGCTGCAATAATTCAGCAAATTATAGAGAAGATCATTATAACCGGGTATATCAGATGTGTGGTGCAGTACAAAATTTTAGCATTTTTGCTTTACCTGATTTGCATGAATCCTTTACTGAACTGGATGCTAAACAAGCACAGACAACATGTGCAAATAAAATAGTACCAGCTCTCGTTCTTTGTGAATTCTTCCATGTGTGTTTAGTGTCATGTGGGGTGACCATACGTCTTTTTTTCCCAGACATGTCCTGGCCGGGATTTTTAAATTACCTAAAATGACCAGATTTTGTATGGGTTTGTTTTACTATTGTTTTCATACTTGATGAAGGTAATGACTGAAAAGTAGTTTGACCCATAGTGCTCAAGCTTTGTACATAATTGAATAATCGTGGTGTGCAAGAAGAGAACAGAATGCAAATGCACGTGTATATATAATGTTTGAGGACTGTAGAGAGCATGTCCGTAAAAAAACAAAAAACATTTTAACTATAAAATACCTTCACAACAACCTGTCAGAAAGTCCAGTTTAACTTGAAGAAATTATGACAGTGATATATACTATTGTATACTAATATATCATACTAAAATATAATTCTCAAACTTTTTGTAAGGAATATCATGCAACCAAGGTATTTTTTTATTAATTTATTCAGTTCTGTTGTGCAACGTCTTGTTCGACAATAAAAATGCAATGTTTTGTTGTTAAATTCATTTAATTTGATTAGATTTTAAAGGAATGATAAAACTGTTAAAGTTTTAATAATTAATTTCATTAGACATAATTTTTATGATAAGTTTTTACTGAATCATAAACCATGGAATCCATAAAAAAATCAAATGGAAAAAATAATTTAGGGGAAAATAAAATTTCATGGGGCCCGAAAATAAAAAGGTATCTTACTCTGTGATGTTTAATTGTGAACAAAGTTATGTTTACATTTTTTTTTGCAAACTCTCTACCAAAATATTAAATTGATCTAGGAGGTTGCCAGAATGTTGCAAGGTTGTTAGGGTGTTTTAGGTGGTTGCTTACTTGCCCAAATGAAGAGTCCATTAACATTAATACCTCAGACCTTAAGTATGAGCAGCAATAGTGAGGCTTACTTAGCAAGGGCCACTTAAAAATGCATATGCTAATGCACCTCCTAACCTCTAAGTACCATAGGTAGGGGAGGTCATGTTACACACTCACACCCAATGTCTTGTAATTTCTGAGTGCTGAGGTGGGCTAGTCTTATCTTTCGTTTTCTCCTGTGTCTCTGTGTCATGGAGTTTTGTAACATATAGAATCTCAATTCATTACTGAACATGTCTGGAAGATCCTCAGACACTTTACATTGAGTTCTGCATGTGCTCAGTTACATGCTACGTGGCCTCACTGTTTAGAAGGCTAATCACTTGGCATAAGTAATGACCGATAATGTCCTGTCATGCTTAGATGATGTTTTATAAGAGATTTGGTTGTTTTCTTAACTTTTGCATGTTTTTACCAAAAAGCAGGTAGGCCAACATGTTTCTTTTGACTGCATCCTGAAACAGAGTAACTTAATTGCCAAAGAGTTTTGTTCTTTGTACAACAAAGGATGAAAGGAGCCACTGCCAAGAGAAAGATGTTGCAGCAGTAGGTAAAAGGATAGAAGATTTAGCCTACATTACAATATCCCTCACTGGGGGGCTAGTTAGTTTGGGACCAAATGTTGGTTTGTAGTTGCTGATAAACTTAATATTTCTGTTTGATCATTTTCTTAACACAGTATCTCTCATAACAGGGTTGAATGGTTGAGCTAGACGTATTCAGGCAGCACTACAGTTTGTGTAAAATTTGAGAAAATAGAACAAGATTATTTACTTGTCCTTCCACCATGTGAAAAAATGAATGGGAAAGGAATGCTCCAAATGCTGTTACTTCCTCTGCATTACAATTTTAAGGAATCTTCCAAAATACCTAATAGTTCTTGCTACTGAAAAAGGAAATTGTGCCATTTTTGCTATAAAAAAGTAATAGCACAGCAATGTGTACCATATTCACAGACAAAATTGCAATTTCAATAGAATAAATACTAAACACTGCATGAAAGAGCTTTCTCTGGTGTAAAACCCCTAACAAAGGATAAAGATGCTTCTTAAAGGGTTAGTTCACCCAAAAATGAAAATTAGCCCATGAATTACTCACCCTCAAGGCATCCTAGGTGTATATGACTTTCTTCTTGGCAGTCAGCGGGTGTTGCAGTGCATCAGTCCAAAAGAAGTGAAATAAAGCGCATCCATTCATAATAAAAAGTGCCTCACACGGCTCCGGAGGGTGACCAAAGGCCTTCTGTAGCGAATCGATGCATTTTTGTAAGAAAAATAACCATATTTAAAATGTAATAATCAATTTAATCTAGCTTGCACTCACTATTGTACACGGAAGCAGCTCCGGGAGGATGACGTAGGACGTCTGCGTTGTGCATACGCCGCTCAGAAGTGACGAACGCGGAAGCGCAGGGGAGAGATCAAAACAAAACAACGGTCACGAATTAGAAGTACAAAACGAGGATTTGTAAAGAAGAATGTCGGAGGATTTCGATATAAGCCAAGAGGAGACTGGTTTTCCTTTGCTAAAGTAAGTATTTGCTCTTGTTAACAAACGTTGGTTGCGCAACGCCGACATCTTACGTGTACTTCTTACTTTTGAGCTAATTTGCTACATACGGCATCTTCCCGGAGCTGCTTCCGTGAACAACTGTTGCCCCCCGGAGCCATGTGAGGCACTTTTTATTATGGATGGATGTGCTTTATTTCACTTCTTTTGGACTGATGAACTGCAACACCCGCTGACTGCCATTAAACAGCTTGGAAGATCAAAGACAATTTTTAATATAAGTCCGATTGGATTCATCTGAAAGAAGGAAGTCATATACGCCTAGGATGACTTGAGGGTGAGTAAATATAATGGGCTAATTTTCATTTTTGGGTAAACTATCCCTTTAAGCTACTCTGTCTGGTTATTTTCTTTGGGTTAGAGAGGTAGTCCCCCTGGAGTTATATTCTTAGTTGTTCTCTTTGGCGCCTGTATCAATGAGTATCTAAATGAGGAAAGGCTCATGGCGTTGTCGACTAATTCCACTTAATCCTAACATATCTTAATAGTGCCAGGCATGGCTCGCTGGGATTAGCTTTAACTGTGGTTAACTCCTCCACAAGTGTTCACACACTGCGACTGCTTCAACAGGGTCAATATGGAATTATTCAACAAAATGTTCATCGAGCATTTTAGAAAGGAATGTAAGTGACATGTTGAACTATACAGTTTTATCTTAAAAGTGGGTTTAATTGCAGTTAGAGTAGAGAAAGTGCTGGTTGAACTTTCACCCGGTAGGGTTACAAATGGTAAGTCTGGCAGACAGACAGTATAATAATTTGGGTGATTACTAACAGTAGTTACATAGTTTCAAGCATGATTAACTATTGTTTGGAATTAAGGTGTTTTTCTTTTTTTTTCTTTTAAACAACAGAAGTATTTATGACTAATTTTATGACTGGTATGGTTGCTCTAAAAATAGCATGTGTGTGTGTGTGTATAATGGTAATATGTCTAAACATTGTTTAATATATATATATATATTAAACAATGTTTAGACATATTATTATTATTTTGCATTAAAGGGATTGTTCACTTAAACATAATAATTTTTTTATGAAATTTCAAACCCATATGCTATTTTTTGTTCTGTGGAACACAATAGGACAATGTTTAAAGAATGTTTACATATTCCATTTTCACACAATTCTGCAAAGTATTGTTTAGTCTAACACTTGTTTGTCATATTGAATGTGCACACAACTTAACTGCCTTAGTAATGCTTAACAGCCATTAAAAGGCCGACTATCCTAAAAGTGGACCCTCTACTATGCTCTACAACAATAATTAAAAAAAAGAAAGAAAGAAAACGAGGTATAATTCTTAAGGTGAGTGATCTGATACCTGATATTGTGGAAGACAACAGGCAAATTCCTGGATGCTTGTAAGGCAAATGCAAACAAACATTAAAGCATTTCTTAGCAGAGCTCTAGAAAGTCAATCTTCATTTTGAGACAATACAAATATTCCCTCTGAAATCCATTCTGTCTGGTGTGATAATTTAATGGTCTCTCTGTGAAATTAGCTTACATGCTAAAATACACAATGCAACTTTTTCACTGTCCAAGCTAATGCTGGAGTTCATTAGGAATCCCATTCTTCACTGTGGTTTTATAGCTGGCACATCAGGTTATGGTAGCCAGAGCGGTTCGTACTGTTTGACACATGCAGAGAACAAAAACGAGGTCATAAAAGCTGCTTGAATCAGGGTCTCCGTTATTCACTCACATTAAAGAGACATGCCCACATTCTCCATCACAACAATATGAGACTCTTATGAGGTGCTTAAACCACAGGGAGCAAGAGCTTTGTGGGAACTATTTAAATGAAAGGAAGGGATGCAACATTGGCAACAATCCTCTTATCTACTTCAGTTTTATTATTGAAGGTTATAACACAAACAGTTCCTCTCAGTTCAAGGGAACACAACTTTGTTTAAATGTATGCTATTACTTGTTTAAGTGATCAGACATAAGATTTGCTTTTGATCAGCTGTGTCCAAACCTGCACTTGTAGGGTGCCTAGCCTTGTCCCAATTCAGAGGCTGCATCCTCCGATCCATCCTTTGCAGCGTTTGTGCATTTTTGTAATGTTAGATATTTGATTGATTTGAAACTCAGTACTTACATTTAAGTATAATCCTGCATTTCCATAATCCTGCAAAATATTCCTGTTATCATTTACTAGGGTTGGGTACCGACCGAATTGCATCAGTACTACCTAGTACCGATTCATGGTAAATCAATCGGTGCCAAATTTCGGTACCTGAGAACGCATCTGGGCGCATACGCTACAGAGAGAGAAAGAGAGACCATGTGACGTGAGGTCACCCCTGCAACTCGTTCAAACAACACACAGGGCAAGCCGAAATGTTCTGAAGTGTGGTTACATTTCTAGGGGCCATATGGTTTCTGCGAAAACGCGGACGGGATCGCGGAGTCCTTACAGAAAAATGTAATTTACTCTATAGCGCGGAATGCCACGGAATTCATCAATTTTGGACAAATAAATCAAAAGTAGCCTCTGCCACTCAATTCGAATCACGATATGAACTAGTTTCTGTGAATATTAAAATGCAAAAAGACGGTTTAAATATGAATCCTGCATGTTCCGCTTGCCTCTGTATGTATGAATGGCGGAAACGCGGTTTTGTTCACTATATGACGGCATGAACACAAAAAATTTATCTCTAGAGCTGCTTCGCGAGAATTTTACCGTTTCATTTGAGAAAACTAGCATCATCATACTGTATACACACAGAAACTTCATGGCAACCTGTCAAAATAAAAGTACGGTTTAACATGTAACAGAAATATATTACTCTTGTATTACTTTTGTACAGTATATTGTACATCTTTAAATATTCAATTTTCTATCAAATAAAAAAAAAACAATTAAATGATAAAAAAATAAATATTACAGCCAGATTAATCACTTAATTGTAGAAAAAATGTATAAAATTTTTAGCCTATTAAAAATGTTTTAAAGGAATATTCACATAATTTTTCTTCCATGCAATAATTTCAAGAGTAAACCTCAGTTTGTTTGCTAAAAAATAAAAGGGTTTAATTTTCATTTGATTTAAAATAAATGTTTAATCACCACAGCTTCTTGTCTCCATTGGCAACACGCACGATTTGTGTCGATTGCAAGTGACGTCGCAGGTATCGGAGAGTGCAAGTGGCGATTGCAAGTGACATTGTAATTTAGTTTCTTTTTTCTTGTCTTCACCACCTGGCTACTGTTGTAAAATGTTGAGCGATTCAAACAAAAAGTAATCAATAAATAGAACAAAATAAAAAAATAAAAGACTGCAAGTGACGTCGCTAGCGGAAGCGCAAGTGTCTGAGAGTGCAAGTCTGAGAATGCAAGTCTGAGAGTGCAAGTGCAAGGCTGCAGCTAGACCCTCTTGTATCATTTACGCAATTAATCTTGGGAAAGTCTGGGTCGTGAAGGGTCCATCTGTTGTATCTTTCATGTCCTGGGAAAGGATGTGTTTCAAGGACCCATTTTAAGGAGACTTCGAGATGGGACGGTCTTTGTCGCACTGTTGTAATGCATTCAGTCTTCAAATGTAGCCTCTGTATTGGGACACAGTAACTTTTGTGCAGATTTTAGCTCCAACACACCTGCTTGGAAGATCCAAGTGATCCTGATTACCTTGATTAGCTGGTTCATGTGTGTTTAATTAGGGCTAAAGCTAAAAATTGCTGGAAGGTGGCCTTCCAGGAGCAGGACTGGACACCCCTTTTCTTGGAGGAGAGGAAAATGGCAAAATTTGCATTTAACAAAAGACCTCCAAGTCATATCTAGAAATCAGAATTTCATAAACACTTGGCTCTTTTCATTTAGGACAGTGAACAACCACCTAGCAAGCATCTAGAACACCTCAATCACTACAAAGCAATGCCCTGGCAGCCACCCATAATACTCTAGCATAGGCAAGCACCATTCATGTTTCTTCAGAACTTGTAAAACTCTGCTACCGGCTTTCTTTTATGGGGTAAGTTTCTGTCAAAGTTTTAGCATTGTGCAAACCGAAATGTAATGTTTTCTTTCTCTATGTTATAGTTACTGCTAGGTTTTGTCGAACAATATCCACATAATGTAGTCTTTGAAGGACCTACTTCTGACCCTTTGGTAAATTGGTTCACGGCATCCTTTGATCTTTCAGCCCTTGATAATATCTTCCTGCTTTTCTCGTAAATTGAGCCAAAACATTTTAGTACAAAGTTTTCTATCCCATCCTCAATGACAGGCAAAAGCCAACAACTTTTGCAAAAAGTCTGAGGGATTTGCTAAGTCAGACATAATAAAGGGTGAGTTTATCACGTAGGACATGTTTCTACTGTAAATATAGTTTTTTTTTAATCCTGAAGCAACATTGCTGTCATACAAAAATAGTCCTAGCTGTACCAAGAGCTGTACCAATTCCTTACATATTAGTGTGTATTTTCATGCATAGGTTCTTTTACTCATCGCATGGTTGTTAAAAGGTGTTATCTCATGTGTACAGGCATCACAAGTGAAAAACAACTTCCAAGTTAACCACTATAAGTCAAATGGAAAAAAAGCAGGCAGCCATCTATAACTCAGACTCAATGTGTGCTCTTTCTCCATAGGAGATCGCTCGGGAAGATGTTTCCTCGCTCAGCAAAATCCATTGTCTTTGACAGCTTTCCAGATCCATCTGACACCTGGGAGATCATTGAGACTATTGGTAAAGGGACTTATGGGAAAGTTTATAAAGTGCTTAACAGGGTCAATGGCAGCAAAGCAGCCGTCAAAATACTGGATCCAATCCATGTGAGTAAAACCCTGCTAGATCAAACCTGTAAGTGGTGTGTGTTTTTAGGTCACAAAGAGATACAACAAGCATGCACATCTATAAGTCCTGTTTTGCCGAACCCTGAGTCGTAAATTTTAAACACAGAGCAAACTCAAGGTCAGATTTGCACAGAAATTAGATTAAAAGCAGAGACATTGTACGCCCTTCAGGTTCAATCAGTTCCCATTTGTGTGCATATGCATGTATTTGCGCATTTGTGTGTACCTGTGAGAGTGTTTATGCCTTAAGACAGGCCTGCAGTCAATTACTGACCACTGAGAACATCTACTCGCCACTGTCATATTAAGAAGAGAACATCTATATCCTGCAGATAAAGCCAAAAGGCTTTCTGTGTCTCTGTCTCTCTCATTATTCTCTAGCTACACACTCTATCTTTTAGTGACTGGGCAAATAAAAGGGCCCCTAACAGCACATACCCAGACTAATCATGATGAGACGGCTTTTCAGAAAATGTGCAATTTGTGTTCATTTACTTCACAAGAGTTTCTCCAGTTCACCCTTTCAAGGTACTGAAAGGAAGCTTGGAAGTATTTCAATGGCCTTTGGCTGCCAGTATATTTAAAATTACTCGTCTAGATCAAATAAATCTAGGCTTAATTTAATAGACTGCAGCTGCCGTGGTCATTGTACCTCAGATAGTCACAAATATGTATTCTCACCGCTTTCCAAGCACAGGAAATGCAGTAATCATGTGTAGTAATAGAAATATGGAGCACTTTTGAAGCCAAAAGGCATCACAGAAAAGACCCATGAACCGAATCCATTCAAATTCTACATTCAGAGGTTGTTTTTCCTCCAGGTTCAATCAGTAAACAGTAATTTTCCAACACTGGAGGACGTGGAAGCCAACAAATATTATTTCAATATATCCCTCATGTGTAGTATACCGCTGTGGCCTGTGGGGCTTTATTAATGTTGACATTTCATGGCCTTTGCAGTTTTGCTAAATTCAATAGATAAAATGACCTGCAAAAATATATATATATATTTTTTTGCATCAGTGACTCTCTTTGAAACATTAACCACTGAATAGTTGAAGAAATGTTTCTTTTTACTCAAAAATGAAAGTAGAAGTTTGAACCATTGCCCTGTTTCTCTTAAAAGTCAATTCAGTTAATCTGTTTCTTTAAGGATATTGACGAGGAAATTGAAGTCGAGTATAACATCCTGAAAGCTCTCTCAGACCATCCCAATGTCGTCAAGTTCTTTGGAATGTTCTACAAGAAGGACGTCAAGAACGGGGACCAGCTATGGCTAGTGATAGAGGTAAAGTTCAATTCTATGTCATGCACGTGGGCCTCATTTATTTAAGCTTGTTGTATATCACACACATGTTAAATTGGGCTAGTGAAATTATCAGCAAAACACTTTTAAATGCCATAATCAATCACCGTTATTATATTTGCAGCCGGAAAACATGCATATGCAAATGTGTTTGTAAATCAGGGCAAAGTGTACTGCATGCTATATCATTATCACATTATGGATTTATTGCTGTCATCACAGTGTGGGCTGATGGGGTATGTATGAAAGCAGTGGAAATCTGTTTAAAGAGGATTAGCGAAATGTGCTGCTAATAAAAGATTATTAGTATCAACACCTCTGTATTTTTGGGAACATGTTTAAATTGGAACATAGAGAACATTTCTCAAATCTTATGGAACATCAGGAAGAATCTCTGTGTTTTTAGAACAATCAAGATATTTTGCATAAATGTATGTATTATTTTTAAAAACACATTAGGCCTACAGTAATCAAAAGGGCCTTTCGCACCCCTTTAGTTCCAGAACTAAATGTATAGTACTAAAGTACTGGGACGATTTAATTTGGTTCTCGAAAAAGGCAGTCCGGTACTAAAATCGTACCCAGTTCCGGCGGTGCGAAAATGCCAAAAAGTGGGTAGTTCCACAATTAGTTCTGGTACTATGAAAAGGTTCCCGCGGTGCGAAAGGCCCTATAGTGACCTTTTCTGTTGTTTGACTGCTTGAGAACAGACAGGTATAAAGGTGTGTGTTGTGGAAATGGGATAAGATAAGTGTTACATAAGAGACTTTAGTATTAGAAGTAGGTCTGGACAGAGTTTTTGTGGCAGGACACAGGTATGGGGGTGTGGAGATGACTGTTAATGTGGACTGGCTGCGTCTGCCTAAGATGAGTATGTTTAGATACCAATTCTGCATTCAGACACGCAGGCTTTAACAGGAAAGAGATGGTCTATCACTGTAATGGATAACAGTATTCTGACAGTGAGGCTGCTTTATATTTAACCATTCTGTAACTATATATTGATGAATAATGCTCAGTAGTTATGTCTTTCAGCAGTAATTATCCAGAAAAAAATGTGTTCAAACAGCCCATAAATGTTGTATCGAATTTACTAAAGAAGTTGTGTTATTAGAGATGAATCATACAGTAATTAGAATGTGCAAGAACATTAAATTATAAACACCTAGTATTTAATGTGTATCATTTGTATTCTTTAGTTTAATATGTAAAATTATAATACGTTTTACATTTTATCGCCACAACGGCCTGAATGGTTATGCACAAAAACCTTCTGGGAAAGTTTAATTTCAGCTCACCAAATTGCAGAAGTGACATAATGCATAATTTAATTTCAGACTAATACAACATCATTTTCAGTTTGTTTAAATTGTGCTCTTTTTTCAAATATCCTCAAGGCATGTTTTTAAAATTAAAGCCTACTAAATAACTCCCCCAAGGTACAGTGATACAGATATGTTATTGGATGGTAATACCAATGTACTTTGATATATGCCATCATACTTAGTGATAACATTTTGCTCATGCAGTACCATGCTATTTACATGGGACTTTAAGGTACTTCAAATGGAACTTTATGGTATTATGTTGGTACATATCCAAACATAGGTGATGGCCGGAGTATATTTGTTGGGATTTAGGGCTTGACCAACTTGTATTAAGGTTTAAAAGAAGTCTTATGAAATTGTTTGTGCTGTCATTAAACCACATAAACCAGCATTATATCTGCCACTCTGCTTTCTATATATAAGTCCAAGGTTACTAAACAACCCATATCAGTCATAAACCACTAAATTTAGTAGGGAGCGAATTATTTGCAGTTGGTTTTCAAAATTGTGTTGTATGAAAGCTTCAGATGTACAGGTTTGGAAGTAATCTTCTCAGTGAGAGGTTTTGTCCTTGTGACCTTTAAATGTACTTTCGATCTCAGACATTTATAAACATTGTAGTTCTTTGAAGCCATGGAGTTTAACATGTGCTCAGCAGAATATTTACAAGACGCTGTGCCCCTGAACATCTCCACCACTTATCTTTGTTCTCTGATGATCACAGTGCAAATAGAATATCTCTGGAATTATTTGTTTACAGATGCCACTTGGTTGAATTTTATAACATAAAGCGATGCTATTTTGAATGCCTTACTTGTTCAAATACTGTCACTGTCCAAAAAATCATATGTTTATAAAGATTTCTGCATATTTCAGCTGAAACCTATTTTTGATGAAAATGTAAAGCATGTTTTTCTCAGGCTCCATGAAGAAACCACATTCTATTTTTTTCCAAACACAGTTGCCACAAATTACAAAAGCTATTTTCTTCCTTTGCAAAGCTTTAAGCAAGTTTCTCCGGCTGCAGTAGAGGGAATGATCTTTTTTCTTGTTCGTGTTTCCCCAAAGATCTTTGCATTTCTGTATGCAAACTCCTGCATGCAAAATCCACAGTCAGCAATCCAAATGTGGAAGTTAATCCTCTGGCTCGAGTCACAGCCGAGCATTCAAGCTGTCAGCAGCAAGTTAGCAGCTGAGGAGACGAGGGAACGCAGCGGGGGTAAATTGCCATGGTTACAGTCGTCCCCTCTGAACTGTAATTTTCCGTATTTCAGTAGGATCCGGGAAGAAGGCTCCTCCACGTTGAGTGACCTCTGATTACAGTTAGGACTCACAGAAATCGCGTCCTCCACTTTGCTGGCTGCTCATCAGGCCCGGTGCTTGTTCTGCCTCTCTTTTGTGTTGTAGGTTCTAATTATGGATATGAAGGGAAACGCTTTCATCTGTACTCACCGGTTCCTCGTCGTATAAGGGGCCAACTCCGCTCCGTCATATTATAACTTCAAAGATATCAGAAATGATCTCTATTGGGTTTTGTTCAAGTTGACTTGTAGGCTCCAGTTGGTGGTTAATGACTGATAGGACTGACGGCAGCGGTTCATTGTTGTAGTTTCAAATGAAACAGTACGTCTCTGTACCACTGTTATTCTTTGTTCATTTAAAATGCTTGGCTTTTTGCGGATATGTAGCTTGTAAAAGCCTACTTGATGAAGTGGATTTATTGACTGGATTCTTAAAAATTGGAGACAATCAATATAACATGGTGCTTGCATCATTGCTCAAGTTATTTGCAAAAACCTGTAATATGATTCTATAGGTAACATTAGTTAATGCAGTGGCTAACATGAAATAGCAATGCACAACATTTGTAGTATTTATTCATCTATGTTTGTTATTGTTTTTTTAACGTATGCATTTTACACATTTTAACATCTTAATCTGCATAAATTAACATTAATGTAAAAGACAACATTAATTGACAATGGGCAGTAGTATATTTACGAATGTGCATTGTTGTTATTGATGTTAATACATCAATGTTAACCCTATAAATGTTTTTTTTTTTTTGTTTTTTTTACAGTATACACAAATGTTCAAATGTGTGGAATCGGTATGATTTTTTGGAAAGCTATACTTTTGACAGCAAATACTTTTTCATTGTTACAGAAAAAAAATAAATAAATAAAATAAAAAAGCTGTCAAATGACTAATCGCGATTAATCGCATCCAAAATAAAAGTTTTGTTATAAACAAATTCTGTTCTTTTGAACAGATTCAGTTCAGTTTCAGTTTCCACAAAAAGCAGAAGCAGAACAACTGTTTTCAACATTTATAATAACATTAATTGACAATGGGCAGTAGTATATTTACGAATGTGCATTGTTGTTATTGATGTTAATACATCAATGTTAACCCTATAAATGTTTTTTTTTTTTTGTTTTTTTTACAGTATACACAAATGTTCAAATGTGTGGAATCGGTATGATTTTTTGGAAAGCTATACTTTTGACAGCAAATACTTTTTCATTGTTACAGAAAAAAAATAAATAAATAAAATAAAAAAGCTGTCAAATGACTAATCGCGATTAATCGCATCCAAAATAAAAGTTTTGTTTACATAATATATGTGTGTATACTGTGTATATGTATTATGTAAATATAGATACACACACATACAGTATATATTTTGAAAATATTTTCATGTATATATTTATATTCTTATTAAATTATATCATATTTAAATATATTTAAGATATATTTCTTAAATATATACATGCATGTGTATGTATTATATATTGTAAGTTAAAGCAACTCACTTTAACAAATCTATTATACCTGATTTTATGTATTTGTGAAGTCAAAGGATAAAGTTTCTTTTGCATCCCATTTTTATGAAGTAGTTATTATTTCACAGGTACTATCTACTATCCATCTCAATGATGCTTGTTAGGACAGCACGTCTATTAGTATGCCTCATCCAGATGCACACAATCATACATTTTCTTTACTCTCTGCCACAATGCTAAGGTGTTGTGGGTTGTTGCCATGTGTTATGCAATGTTCTGAGTGTTGACATTGGCATTTGGGGTTGCTTAAAATTACTGTGATATTCTAGTCTCTATACTATAGATATTGCTTGGGTACCTCCAATATATTTAATAAAGTCCTTGCCAAACAAGGAGATTTCTGTGACTTTCAAGCAACATTGACTCTTGGAACAACTCTAATGTAGTTACTATAGACAGTTTTATAGCAACACATTGTTTCAAACTGTTATTGTCAATGTCTTTATATGTAATTATATACAACTTAACACATTGTGGTTAAAACAACAGATCAAATTAATTTAGTTTAATTTCACTCATTCCCTTTAATATGGTCAAAGCGGTGGCTGTGGTTTTTGGCCTTGTTTCCTGTATTGAATGGCGGGTTCTTTGGCGCACCCTTTGAAACAAAGCCCTTTCCGAACCATGTCTGATGTGTTTAGCTTGTGCCCATCATTAATTCACAATGAGCTTTAAAATGCCATTGTTTGTCAGGGCTTTTTCATTCAACGTTGTGGGAAAGCGGACACCTAGCTCATTATTGGAGTGCAAATGATAAGGTCGCTTGAACAAAAGCGGTGTTTTTTTATAAAGGTGTGAGGGCCACACA